CTGATCATGGATATCAGCATGGTTTCTGTCCCAGCACTGATTGTGGTGATATTGTGTTCCCCAAAATATTGCGCACCCTAATAAACTTATCTGGGGTCAGAGAACAAAACAGCCACTAGGTACAGAGGCCAGAAAATGGTGGAACACACACCTTTAATCCTATCACTTGGGAGGCAGAGATCCATTTGGATCTCTGTGAGTTTAAAGCCACACTGGAAACAGCCAAGCATGGTGACTCACGCCTTTAATCCCAGGAAGTGATGGCAGAAAGCAGAAAGGTATATAAGGCATGAGGACCAGGAACTAGATATGGTTAGGCTTTTGAGCAGCACACTTCAGCTGAGAGGCATCCAGTCTGAGGAAACAGGACCAGCTGAGGAACTGGCAAGGTGAGGTAGCTGTGGCTTGTTCTGCTCCTTTGATCTTCCAGCATTCACCCCAATACCCGGCTCCGGTTTTGTTTTTCTTAAAAAGACCATTTAAGATTCGTGCTACAGCTGATTGTTAGAATTCCTAGCCACTTCCCCAGCTACATGACCACACATGTGCTGTTCAGTAGCCAGGCAAGATGCTTAATCATCCTAGGGCCTTCCATCCTATGTAATCGGTGTGCTGTGTGATCATGTAATCTATGCACATGCGTGGCATAGCTATGTAAGCCCATATGCACATGTGGAGGGAACCTATAAAAGCAGGTTCCACCCATTCCTTCTCCCTCTCCCCGCACAGTTATCCCATAGGCCCATGCACACCCCTTCTGTTCCCTTCCCTTAATAAACTCTTAGAGTGGGTTTTGTTGTGCCTAGTGGCTTTTCTCCCATGGTAAACAGCACTGCTTAATGAACAACACTGATCCCAGACATCACCATCGCCTCTGGCAGCAGCAGGGACCACAGATACTAACATGGCCTCTCTTTGGAGGACCCTTAATCCAGAAACCAAGCCATCTTCATCTCAGATATCTTGTTGCTCACAGTCAGGGTGACCATGCAGTTGGGTAGCACCCTTAGACGCAGCACCTGCAAGAGCTCCAGGCTGCTGTACATCACCCCGCCCTTTGTGCTGGTCACCCTGCAGCAGCAGCTGATCCATGCTGAGGGCCAGGCTTACAGGCTGAGTGGCAGGACCGTGGGCACCTGGGTGAGGGGAGCAGGGAGTGGCCCAAGCCCCCCAGCAGCCCAAGGACTGGCTCCTTTGTTTGCTGAGATGCTCCCATACACACCACCGAGACTCGAGTTCTGATTCTCTCGGCTGAGCGCCACTCCTTTCAGCCATCTTTTCCTCCAGTTCCATGACATCACTTTTTAAAAGCATCTTCCCGTAAGACCTCCTTTCTTTGGTTGTCCCAGAGACACTGTGTGCTCTGCAGGATCATCCTCTGCTTCCGAGTCTCCTCCGTGTGTCTCTCAGGCTCCTTGGAGCCGCCGTACAGCCTCAAGGGTGCACTTCTGCCATCTTTCGGTTTATCTGTTTGCTTTTTTGTTTTTGTTTTTGTTTTAAATGGTCAACAGCAAATAAACACCAGAGCTACAATCAAACCTCAGGTCTGTCAGAGTTCAAAACCCATGGCATTCACTATGATGTCCTTCAGCAACAGGAGATACCAGCCACATACCGTTTTATATGGAAGATTTCCTCTTAAAAACTCGTTATAAAACAGAAAGGTGTGTATGGGGGGGGGGCAAATCAGCTTGAACACACAGCTGCCATGACAGGCTTAGAGGCCCAGACACAGCTTCTGTGACAGGCTTACTGGCAGGCAACACCCAGACCTAGGAAAAAGCCATAAGCTGACCCCACCCAGGGAGGCCTACATCTAAGGGAAAGTACCTGGTATCCCAAACATTCCAACCATTAGATAAGGTGGCCAGATGTCCTTGAGTCTAGCACACACCTATTTCTGTTTTACAGATACCCCTAGACAAATGTCAGCCAATCAGGGTCCTGAATCCTGGAATTTCCCTCACCCCAACCTCTGCTATGATAAAAACTCTACCCCGCCTGAGCTCAGGGCTCTCTGCTCTCATCACTGTGTGGGACAGACAGAGACCAAGCTCGGAGCTTGAAAATAAAGGCTCTTTGCTTTTACATTTGGGATTTGGTCTCCGTGGTGGTCTTTTGGGGGCCCCTGTGATCTGGGCATAACAAAAGGTATCACCAGGTGGTAGTGGCATATTTTTAATCCCAGCACTCAGGAGGCAGAGACAGGTGGATCTTTGCGTTCAAGGCCAGCTGGGTCTACAGAGAGAGAGTTCCAGGACAGCCAGGGAAAACACAGAGAAACACAGGAAAAAAGAAAGGTATCAATAAGGAAAATTCAAGGTCAAAGCCAGAAGATCTTCTTTCTTGTGTCAACTCTATCCATTCCTACCCTCATGACTTCACATCAGTGTTTCTCTGTTATAACACAATCCCTGAAGATGGATAACTTACAAAGTAAAGAGGTTTATCTGACTTACGATTCCAGTGGCCGAGAGTCTTACAGGCACCTGCATCCTGGCAAAGGCCTTATGCCTGCTCCCCTCATGGAGAAGTAGAAAGGAATCAATCAGAAGCAGAAGGGGCTAATGGATGGCGTGGCTTTGGTTGGAAACAACCCACTCAAGCCCGTTGCTCCAGGAGATCAGCACTGATTTATTTGAAGGGCAGGAGTTCATTACCTAATTATCTCATATTCGGCCCCACCCCTTACAGTTTCCATTGCCCCAGCGCCACACACCCCCCACCCCCCACCCCACCCCCCAACCAAGCTTGCAGTGCATGAACCTGTAGGGACATACATTCAACTGTATACAAACCACGATTTTTCTTCAGGATATGTGGAGTTTTTGTGCCATGGCCAGAGCCCAGGTATTCTGTATAACGTTGTGGTTTAATCTCACATTTGCACTTGAGTGGGGTGTACTTAGGACAGGCCTTAGGGCCGGGTGAAGTGCTACAACAGCTTTAGTGTTTCAGGCTCAGGGTAGCAGGTGAAGAGATCTGAGTGAGGAGACTGGAAGTCTCTGGGAACATAGGGACGAAACAAGGAGCTGATGGGAAGTGCTCTCAGCTTGCAAGTGTCTCTGCCACTGCCCCTGCAGGGCTGAGGCCATCTTCCCAGCTGGCTCCCTGCAGGCTCCTGTCTGCTGGCTCTTCAAGCAGCAGCCCTGGCAATCAATCGAGTTCAGCCCAGCCTTTGGAAGGACCCTTCAGTGGCTCCTGCGTCTTCTGGGGATAAAGGCCTGTGTAATGGTTCCTCCCAGACACCCAGCCTAGTCTCTTAGCATCTCATGAAGAGTTCCTTGCAGTCCCCCCTTAGAGGGCTCGGGACCTTCGAAGAAGCTCCAGGCATCTGCACTTATCACCTTCTCAGACTAACCATACTCCTCCACTTCTTCACATCCTCCTGTTTCTGACTTCAGTATACCTCATCTCAGGCTTCTCCATTGCTGGGACAGGCTCTTCTCATGAGCTCCCCAGGCCCACCCCAGAGTTATGGGGTCAGAGTAATTATGACAATGTATTGTGATGTTCCTGGGTCTTCCAAGCTACTTTGCCACACTGAGGCCATGGGCCATGCTTTCTTCCTCTTTGTATTCTCTGCATCCTTTGTGAACAAGGACTCAGTAAAGATCCTTAGTATGAAGGGAGGAAGGAAAGTCGGGGGCAGTGGCAGCAAGCACCCTGTGACCCCATTTTGTAAACGTCAGTTCTGCCCAGTGACTTAGTATTGGGGACCCTCAAGACAGAGTGATATTCAGACAGCCTAGGAAAATGTGGCACACACAACAAATGAAGGCATTGTGTGTCACTGAGCTGAGCTGTGCCCTCTCAAAGCTG